CTATATATATATATCACTCCCCAGTCTCGCCATCAATTTAGTAACGTAGGTACACTTTGTCAACAATCACTCTGCCTCGCATCTGTCTCATCTACGTAGCTTCAAATGTTCTTAAATGTGACACTAAATTATGCTGGTTTTTGTGAACCTTTCTTGCCAATCAATGACTTATGGATATGTGGAATAACACCTGTGACAAAGTAGAAAATGAAAGTTATTATAGCTGCATTAAAGAACTGCACCATGAGAGCGTTAAAATATGTACCTCCTCCAGCAATAGTTGCTTTAATGAGACTATCTAATTCTTCATCTCCACGAATAGCGAGCTGAAGATGTCTTGGTGTAATACGTTTGACCTTTAAATCTTTCGATGCATTCCCTGCCAATTCAAGTACCTATAACAAACAACCGTTTTCACAACATATGTAACATTCTACGCTATGTTCTCAACATATCAATGCAATATTTATACATATTCCGTCAGTCCGAAAGATCTTGCCTGATTTGAAATAAAATATCATTTACATTTTGTAGTAAAATTTTCACGTTCTTGCTCCTTTTTACAAGCAGGTGAATTCGTTTTTCATAGAAACTAAAAGAAACTCCAGACCAACAAACTATTTTTTACTGTCTAGAGAGCGGGAGCACAGTCCAAATGTACGAACAAAATGTTTTTCATCGATTATTTATAATAGATAAAAATTCGCAAAGTTTGCAAGTTCTCAAGTAGTGGCAGACCATTTATAACATGATTTAAGGTATTTTTCAGATCTAATTTCTCCGATTCTAGTAGGTTCTAGTATACTACGAGTAAAGATATGTTTTAAAAACATTTATTGAACTATTTGAACATTAAATCAACTTTTGATATTATGTATTCTCTTATACATTGCACACGGCGTTTATCATTTCTGCACATACAATTTTCTTATAACATAAAAACTCCAGAATATGAGGGTAATGTTTGCCAATAAGCTCATAACAATACCAAGGCGAACATCTATGTCAAAGTACAATGAAATATGACCAGTCTATAAAATAGGACATGAACTTTTGCGCTGAGTTGATAAAAAAGTAATGAAAAAAATGAAATTACACGTGGCATATCAAAGCGGAATATGTTGTTAATTATTTGCCTAAAATTGACGAAAAAGGCGGGAAGACCGGCCATGATGGGTTGGCACGAGTGACGCCATCAGTCGCTAGTGATGCCAACGCGTATAAAGCTCCAGCTATAGTTATAGCGACTGATCTTCCCATTGTGCGTATTTGCGATTCTATCTCTGTCCCTTTCAGCCTTCCTCTCTCTCTCCCGCATTCGTCCTCTCTTGCTTTTGTCAACGCTTTCTCTTTCTCTTCTTTCACGCAGGTATACTCTACTCACCTCGGCAGTAAGGTATTCCAAGATAGCTGCACTGTACACCGCTGCTGTGGCACCAACTCGACCATGACTCGTAGTTCTGTTTTTCAAATGCCTATGAATTCTACCGACCGGGAACTGAAAAATAAACAAACGTGCTATGCCTGATTCAATTAAAAATGAGAATATCGCGTAGCGATACGTGTCGATTTCGTGGCGAGGTAAATATTTTCGGGTTAGGACGCATCGTACGTAATGTCTGTTCGAATAACATTGGTTCGGCTCGGCGTCAGCAGCTTTTCGTATAAGAAATACGCGAACGACGAGTCATGACACAATTTTTCGTAATATCGTACGTCCACAGCATTTTCGTATCTACGATTCGTTCGAAAACCGTATCATATCAGACTCCTCTCAAAGAGAGACTGTGCCTACACATGGTACTGCACACGTAACTTGCTCCTCTTTTAATGTTACAAATATCGAGCGGTACACGATGATTCGGCTTTCCCGAGCTTTCCAGCTTAGTACGTAGTTTCGTCATTCAATAGTGAACGCCCTGTGCTTTATTTATTTACGTTTTAAATAATAGCTAATGATGTATCAATCACCGCAGTGTTACAAATTCCACTGGTCCAAAAATAACTTTTAATATAAATCGCTTATTAAACGTAATGCATTATTCATCGTTCGATTTTATTTAACGAAATGTCCAGCTT